ATATTTAATTCTTATACAATTTCGATAAGTATACGTTGCATATTATTTTATTTCTATATTTTATTCTTTAAATTAAGTGATTTCTTTCTGTAGTATTTAATTCTTTATTCGGATCAATCTTTTACTTCGAAAATCGGTACTCTGTAAAGAATTTCTTGATCATTTTACGAAATTTAGAAAACTTTGGAATTGAAGTTGAGTAGAAGCGGTTTTACTTTGAAGAACGAATTGTTCAAGAAGTAAACTTTCCTCGAAACAGTTTTCTCGATCTCAATGGAGCGGAAAATGAATATACCACTTATCGATTGGATACACCTAAGATGCAGAACCGACGGATTCTTGGGTCGGTGATTTCGATATATGAGGATCATGAATCCCAATTTCGTTGTTTCTTATTTTACTCAGTTATGCGCATTCATATTGTTGTGACGCGATTTATTTGCACCAATACAATAGCGTAAACGTGCAGGTCACTGGGTCGCGAAATTCGTTGGAACTTTGCGTTGTGCACCGCAAAGCTTGCAGCTGCCACATGAATGCAATAGCGATCAGGTGTAATGGCAACAAAATAACAATGTAGTATTATAATAGATAGTATGAAGGAAAGAATGGAAAAATATATATTATTACAAAATAAAGAGATCAATACAATCGAAAGTATTTGCAGACTTCTTTTTAAACATTTAATATATATGTATACCGTTTCCGTACTTCAAAAGTGATATATGAAAAATGTAATTTTCGAGTTATTATATGAAGTAAAGTTAGTTTATCTTTGCTAATTGATAAAGTACTCTTTACCTAATTTACGAATTAAGTAAAGATTACTTTAGCAATTATTAAAGATAAACTAACTTTACTTCATAGTCCGCCCGGCAAATAGCACTTGTGTTGTTTTCAAAGAGATCAGAATAGTTTTTACAAGAGTGAGAAGAAGTTTAAAGAAGAAACTATTTTATTTTGAATTTAGTCATTTTAGAGATAAATATAAACTAATGCTGATATTTCGAGTTGTCATTTTTCATAATTCATTATTTCAGATTTGTAATAATTTTATAGAGTATAAAAATTATTACCCATTGCAAAAAGAGTGATTTTTAAAAGCTATAAAAGGAAAATGACAACAACGACATTTAATCATGTTTCTAAGAATATTCTTTTTTATTTAATTGGTCAATTATTTTTTGTCATGAAAAATAGTTTTTCTTTTTCTGAAAAATTTAATTTTTTAAGTTATTTAACTTTTGAAGTAAGGGAAACGATATATATATTTGTAATGCATTCTAATGTACATAAATAAGTTTCCGTCATCAACTTTGAATTATATAAATTTCTGCATTTAATTATCTTTCCATTAGTAAGGTTGACTCTCCTACATTTCAAAAGTTATATAATAATTCGCAGTTAGACAATTAACTACATTTTTAATTTAATTAAATGTGAAAATGCATATTCGTCATTGCATGTTACATTATTTTCATCGCAACGTGTTAAAACCGCCATCAAGCAACCAGAATTTATAAGATTTATGCGGAGACAAAATGTTGAATCTAAAAGACCGTCAGATTGGTTTAAAAGATTTAAAAGAGATGATTTTGATGTGAATAAATTGTGTTGCGAAGTATTTTTTCGCACAGTATTCATTTTATACTACCAAAATAATAGCAAAAAGTGATAAATTCGAAAAGCAGATAATTTGATTGAAATGTTTGTATCATTTATTAGAATACAAACATTTTAGTCAAATTATTTGCTTTTAAATTTTGCTTTTAAATAAATAGATATGTTTTTGAAAAGAAAGCCGCGAGAATTTATCTGTACAGCTAATATTCATTATAAAGAAAAATTGAGTATACAGATATAATTACGAATCAAATTTCTTTGTAAACTTAAAAAAAATGATCATGAACATACAATACAAAGAACATCAAACATTTATATTTTTATGTTATTTATGATGCAAAAATGTCCATTCATGTTTCAAAATTTAATTAAGTATGGTTTCTACAAAGATAATAATAAACAAAATTTAAGTATGATTTCTACAAAGGTAACAATAAATTAAGGCTTTATGGTACAATAAAAATATTTGGCGACATCATATAGAAAGAAAGAGAAGTCAAACAAAATCACTGGATGCGGAATGAAACGTGACTTGCGTTTTCGTTCTTAGGTGAACCTTTGCACCCTTTGATGCATCTTCCGCTTCCACTCTTATCCCGTCTCTTCAGTTCAAGCTTTGCCATCCGCTCGCTTTTGCCTCCTTTGACCTCTAATTCGAGCAAGATTCACCGTAGCGTGTGTGCCATTAACCCAAATAATTTTGAGCTTGAGAGTTTCCACATCAAATTTCCCTTCGCCTGATTTTCTTTTACGTTCTTATGTATATTTTTTTTCTCTTATTGAATGTCCAGAGTATTGACTTAATAAGAAAAATTATGTCCAATTCAGAACGTATATTAAAAACAGATTTAAAAAAAAAAACATGTAAATTATTAGTTGCTATCACATTAATAGTATTATTATTAGTATTATTATAATTAATTTTTTAACTTCATTATGATGCATTTATTGTGCTTGCTTATAAATATTATTAAATTTTTTTTTTCAAATATATATTTTGGAAAATTTAAATCGAATTCATTAATTAAGATGATAATTAGTTCAAGATACTTAAAAATAATTTTTTCAGATCAATTCTTCCTTTTTTAACATCAAGATGGTCTAATGTAATTCCTTATCATCAGTGTAACCTGAATCGCTCAGTGCATCACTGAGTGCATTGAACTACATCGAGCTGTTACTTCGTGGCGGATTGTCGGTGTGTAGGAAAGGTCCGTTAAGCGTTCTCGTGTAAGTTCGAAAGTCAATTGGTCTGGATTCGCGTAAAGTTTCTACGTTACTTTCGACGGGAAGAGGAAGGAAAGAGTTGAGTACATTTCAGTTCCCGATCGAGGTTCTCGCGTCAGATATGAGGCGTAGTGTAACCCGCGATTGACTCCTGCAAAACTAACGAAAGTTTCAACGACGAAGAGAAAAAAAACTACGATTTATAGCTTTGACGATCGAAGTTTACCAGTGTATCTATAATTTGCAGAATGCATGCACGTGAATTGGACTGATAAGATAAGAAGAGAATAAGAATTCTACTTTGGCTTTCAAAAGTTTTCTTTCTTTCTTTGTATAGCAATTAGCTATGATTGGGTGTTTTTTGTTTTATATCTATATAATATAGACATAAAAGATGTGAGTGTATAAAAAAAATTTTCATGAACTTGTGAAAATGATAAATGTATAAAATTTTGTTTAAAGACGAAGCTGTTTTTTTAAGTAATAGAAATTTGTATTCTTATGCTCAAGGTTCTTTAATATTTATTATGCACAGTATGACGTTGAAAGACAACTTACTTTCTAATAGTAAAAATATGATAATAATAACCCAGATGTAAAATGTTTAAATCTAAACATTATTTAAACAATCTTTACATTTTAATCAAATATTTATTTTTCTGTAAAATTTTAAGACTATAGTAACCTTTAATTATAAAGTAATCGTGACAAAGAAATGAGTTAATAATGTTTTTAAATATTTAATTAAAATTGATTATATAATTATTAGATGATTAATTTGCATTTAAAATATAAGATTTATATAATATTTTAAAAAAGAAATTTTCAAATTAATTAAATTGCAAAGTTACAAAAAATTTAGTTCAACTTTGTATTTTTCTATTTGTATTTTTCTATACAACGCTTGGTAAACGGTAATATAAATGTCTATTAATAAAATTTTTCTACATTTTTTCATTAAAAAAATTTTAATTATATGTATATGTATGATGTTTCCAACATCAAACTTTTAAAGCTATTCAAAATAATGTATTCTTAAAAATAAGATATTAATAATTATTATCAGCTAAATTTTAAATATGCCATTGTATGTGTGTGTGTGTGTGTGTGTGTGTGTGTGTGTGTACATACAATCATCTTATTAATAATTAATTATGGATAAACTCTTATAAAATGAAACATTAAAATTGTATACCTTTATTATGTATAAACGTGTTGCAGACTTTTATGCAACTATTTTAGCAGTTTCTCGCTGAGTTTTTCTTCCCTTACATTATATTAATTTTCTCGCAGTTTAGTAGTTGTATCGAGTTTCTACAAACTCAATAGAAAATTGTATGTTTTGTTTTATAATTTTCTAAGTTATTATAAACAATTTATTATATACAGTTCGCGGGTTACATATGTGTGTGTGTATGTGTGGGGGGGGAATGCGTGTGTGTGTGTGTGTGTGTGTGTGTATTACATTATGTCACCTAGTAAATAAAAATTAACGACTTATAAAAGATATGCTATAACTATTGACCATCGCTTTATAGTATACATTAAAAGTAGCAATCGCTAATTATGCGCGTATTGAAATTCCGATATGTATCGCATCGATAATGTCTTGCAATTACCGCGGATTATTGGAACACAGACATGTGCAAAAATAGCGAAATATCGACAATATATACGGTAGCTCGGTGAATATCGGAGTTTGCGTATTTTAATATTTATTAACGGCTATTGGGGACCAGATGTAGGTCGATGTACTTGGCAAAACGCCGATATTTGATGGCCAGTCATTAATCCTTTGCGCGAGGGATTTACACGACCCAAGGCGAAACGGGAATTCATCGCGATTAATTAATAATATTTATATAGCGGTGGATCACGATTATGCAGCACAGCGATCTGTTAACGTTATTACAAATCTTGCATTTTAAACGTATGTTACATACGTAGAGCAGGCGTTTTTCATTCATGAAACTAGCATCTTAATGTGACCCAGCTTATTTATTATGTTATTATTATGTTCACTACTTTGTTTTATTTATTTTTATATATTTTTCATTATTTTCCATATATTTTATATATTACATTTTTTTATGTAATTAGTAATTCTTATGCAGTATGTAATCACATCTCTTCTTTCGTTACTGTTTTAGAGATGCTTGTCATGATTCCTGGACTCAACTGCGACTATCGCCAATGTTCGGCTGTATATGTCCGAATAATCATATGAAGCGACGATGCGACAAGATCTTCTCGACGGTGAACCACAATCCCTGCGTTGGTGAGTCCAACAATATGAAATTCGTAAAGTTCTCTCTTTCAATCCATGTATTTGTATATACTTCCATCGTACATGTAATTACTTGTAGAATACTAAATTTATATATTCTATCAACATACAACATAATTGTAATATCGCAATTTATTATTAATTGCAAGAAATAGAGATTTAATTTATTCTATTATTAAATACTAAATGCTAATCGTACTAAGTCATCGCAAATGTAAATTTATTATTTAGTTTAATTATTGGTATAAATATAATTTGCAAATTTAACGCCAAATGAAAAGTTTGTCAAATTAAATTTTACTATGCGTATTAAATACACGATTTAAATGCACGTCACGTGACGCGTAACTACGTGTACGAGGAATTTTATTTGATAAGTTTTACCTTGAATTGAGATTCAAACATAATGTTGTGACATGAATGAACAAGTAATAATTATATTAGCACCTTGTGAAAGGCGATTGTTGATGTTGTGAAGTAATTTTGGATATATATATATATATATACATATAAAGTTTTTTCTATCATATCTACGTTAAGTTTACGGATTTTTATCCTTGCGTGTCTGTCTGTGTGTATCTTGTACAGAATTCTCATTTGGTTTCTTTCTGTCGATGTATGCATTGAAGCGTTCGTATTGATCCTGGACCATAGTGATAGATCGCAAACATTGTACAGCGTACAGATTTCCAATGTATAAGTTTTATTTAAGAAAAACTGACGTATTTTACGATCGAAAAAATTTCCATTGTCTATTACAAATAATTTGGTTGTGCTTAATAATTCACATTTCTCTACATAAATATACTAAAAATAAAATATAGAAAACAATAATATTATTGGCGTATCGCAGATATAACATTCTATTATTCAATAAAAGCCGTTTTATTTTATTAGATATAAAAGACTTTTATTTAAGAATTATATATTGTCTGTATTTTGCAACAAAGAAAGAATATACAAAATTACTGCAGGTATATATTATTTAATATATTACAAATAAGATTTAAAAAGTATAATTTTTAAAAAGATTAATTAATTAATAATTTTACATTAGTAATTAATAATTACAACGATAATTGCGTTTGTATGCATAATCGGCATTCTGAAATTCCTGCAACGAAGTGCGAAATTTGTTATCAACAAAGTACATAAACGAGAAGATTGTAGCATCAGTCTCGCGTTTAAAGCGGACTTCCAGCTGAGAACTGATGTACACTAAACTAAAGCCACTTCCTGTTACTCTCTCATTTTTTCCCTGGCATCAAAGTTGCGAGCGAGGTAGAATACTGCTCGACGGGGCAATTACTTTTAAGCGATACCGCGGTGTTCAAGGCTCGTCGGAGAACGTTATCCTCACCCTCGGATAAGCTTTCTTCATAATTAACTAAAGAGAGAGATGCAGGCATTAAAACGAAAATAATAATGAATCTTAACTTTGAGAGGCTGATAATAACCAATGCTTTAGAGATGCATTGCTGCAACACCTTCAGTTTTAGAAACAAAACATTTTTTTTTAATAGACATATATTTTTATCGAAATTAAATTTTGCTAAGATTAGAAAGAGAAATTAACATGAATAAATCAACTAAATACGAAAATCGCCAAAGTTAAAATTAGACTAATACTTACATACGTATTTTATATAAATTTACCTCAGAAATATAATTGCGCGTCGATTACTTTCAGGATTTCAACACAATCTAAAATACTAATAATCAACAATCTAATTAAATTTGAGATTTTTGTATTTCAGATTGATTCTGTTGAAAATCCGAAAATAATCGGTGCGCAGTCACATTTTTAATATAAATTTATTTAAAATACATATATATATGTATATGTAGCTGATTTTAATTCTGTTATTTTAACGTATTTTAATATAAATCAATTTTTAGTATCATTTTTAAAATCATTCTGTATTAATTATCTACACATAAATATTAATAAAATGCTTAATGTATATTCAGTATCTTAATGATATTTGATATCACTTATTATATTAACAAAAGGTAATATATGGAATCTTTTGTAAAAATTAATTAACTTTACGTTTGAACTACATAATTAAAGTTTATTTATTTTAGTTTATTATTTATTTTAATTTATATAAAATTTCACATTTTATTTTGTTTTAATTTATACTTTATTTTATTTTAATTTATACTTCAGTTGATTATCGATTTCCAACTGTGCGTCCAGGATCGATAATGCTTCCGCCCGTGCCTCGCAATTGTAATTTAAAGCAACATAAAAACTCAGGCGTGCAACGCGCACGCATGAAACGTAAGTATCTTTACACGCATCACACGCATGTGTGACAAATGTCTCTTGCGTTGCGTTTGACGAATGAATCGCGCCAACGATGCATAGTGCGAGCGATGAACGTGGCATACACACTCTACGATAGCATTAACAGTTGTGGAATGCGTGACTGAATGAGAGCAGTTTTCAGCACAGAAACATAAACGAACAATTAATAATTACCGGTAACAATGTTATAACATAATTAACATCCGACGCTATGTACACAATTCAATTTAGCTTTCGACAAGCAGCAAACTACTTTACATCACGAAACAAAGAAATTCTGCTCTTCCTTTTCCTACAATTTCGAACTAATTTTAAATGTTGTACGTCGATAACAACTTAACTTACAATTACGAGCTAATACAATTTAGTGTCCAGATTGGCATTGAAGTCAAGCGACAAATACTTGAAAATTTGCTTCTTAAGTCATGTGCGATCTACCTTGACAATGTAATCATTATTTCATACTGAAGAATGTTTGTAATATTGTGAAATGTTTTATTATTTGTTCATAAATCAATCACTTTCAAAATATGCAAAAATATTTAAATGATTAAATTATATTTTAATTATTCATTCGACAAATATCTTTATATTCTATTATAAAAATACTTCTATCATTTGCAAATATTTCTGTTTGCTCACACATTTGATTAAGTTTGAACGTTTCATCTTTAAAATTTTAATACATTTGATATTTACAATTACATATTTTTAAAAATTTTTCTGTTTTTATCTTTGAAAAATTTTAAATTTAATCTTTGAAATCGATATGATATCTTCAACATTATTGTCTTATACAATATAGACGAAATATTCGAACCCGTAATACTAAACGATTCGCCTGATATGTAGATCTGGATCTTAAATTGAGATTGGAAGCGCGACTTTAAATGGGCCCTTCACCGTCCTCCGTTCTTCTTTTCCCAAGATATTGAACAACCAGACGGTAGGTGTATGAATAACAATGAAGGAGAAAGGAGGACGAGAAAGGTGGAAAAACGCTGTCCTCAAACACAAAATTTATATAAACGCTCGAACTACTTTGCAATCAAATTAAATTATTTCTTGTTGTTACAAATGATCGAATCTTCGACAGGAGGAAACAGACGTTTTATTGTTACGATTTAATCGTATATATATTATATATATTAATCGATTATATGCCTATTTTTGGCAGGTTGTAAATTGGTTAGAAAGACTATGTTTAACTGACAGACATAAACTTCTCTCAATATTTTCGATTTATTAGCTACTGATTGTCTGAATAGATGGCGATTCATGATATCATTTAATTGGTGTTTAATAGCGTGCTGTTAATAAATACATATAATACATCGATCGGACGAAAAGCGATTATTTGATACATTAAGTTAACGATTTAAATGTTATTTCAGTCACTTATCTTTTTATATAAAGTTACATATTAATTTGAATATTATTCAAAAAATAATAATTGAGTATAAAATTATGATAATTTGTAACATATACGTATATGTACAATATTATGTATAAAGATTCAAGATCTAACTTCAATAGAACAAATTAACAAATAGCTCGATTACAGCTGTAAATATCTACCATCACAACACAGCAGTCAATTGTTTTAAAATAACAGCGCAAAACCTGAAATTAGTTTTGTATGACAAACGCATTTATTATTTTTATAACAATTTTGCTTGTTGATATAAAAATCAAATTATTATACTCTTATACGCTCATACGTAAAAAAGTCTGTGACTTCAACGATCGTCGCACTTTTTGGGTGAATAACATTTCGAAAATGTAATATCTCGAACAACGTGAGATGTTTTATGACGACATTCGGAAGCAATATTTTCGCTATAGTGTATGAAAATACGAAAATCTACAAAATGAAACTACTAAATTGTAAACGCCATAACTTTTTTTAAATGTTACCCATGGGAAAAATAGTTTTGTTCAAATATTTAAAAATTTAACTAGTTACAGATTTGTGTGTGTGTGAAAAAAAATTAATTTTGTTAAACCATTGAAATAATTATAAAACGCTCAAGTATGATAAGTAATACTGCAGAAAGTGTTGTGACATTCTAGCAACCAGTTTGAGCATTCTACATAATTATTTTGATAGTCCAAAAATGTCATTTTATCTGTGTATAACGAAATTTTTAGATACTTTAGCAAAACTGTTCTTTCCATATAAAGCTTCTAACTATTCTAATCATCGCAAGGTCTATTGCATCTCACGTTACTTATCCGAGGTTAATAGAACGAAGGCACGTCAGAGAAGTAACAAAGCGCATGATACTCGAATCGAATGTCTCGAAAAGTTCGATCGGTACTTGAAGGGGTTCGGCGTGGAGGGTCCTCCTCCTCCGCCGGTTCGGTCCATAAGAAGAAGAGACGTCCGTTTCGAATGGAGGGAGGCCCGAGGAAGCGCGAGGATCGATTCTCGAAATCCCGGAACGCACGAGAGAAATGTCTGCACGAGAAAGCGCACCTCGGCACCCCCTAGGAAGACGCGCTCCGCCCTTGGAGGATTCGCGTTTCAAGACCAATATTCTCGCCACCGCCCTTAAAGACTATCCCCGAGTGTCTCTCTTGCTTCATCCGTCTTGCGATCCTGCATACATATGTACATTTCCGCCGCGTATACGTCATAAATATTTCGCACATTCGCTTGCGCTCCATCGACAAACGCGAGATAGAGAATTAACGAGATGGAGAACGTTATCTAATAAGAGATAGAGAATTAACGAGATGGAGAACGCTATCTAGTAATCTCGCGGGAATATCGCTACATTATATTCGCGGTCATTCAATTCTTAGTCAGAGTTTGTTATTTTAACGGTTATACTACAAATGCAACAAGATATTTCTGGATATATAATATAATTATTCCATATAATTATTTTCTTCCCTTCGCGAATTGTCAGGGCGTGCAAAAGCACAATTTACAATTTGATTATATATCGTAAATCATATTTATTTGTCTCTTATTATAACTCTATATTGTCTAATCTTATTTATCTTTCATAATCCTTTCATTTGTCTTTTATAATCCTTTTTGGTTTTATCAATCTCAAAGTTCGTATCGACTTATCAATCCCTTGTAGAGTTTGATCCACGATAGAACGTTTGATAGGACAATACTCGATCGTTCGCACCGACATCCGCAATTTTCCTTTGTCGCCGTAAATCCAGTGCGACGAATCAACGTCGCGATCGGTCGAGATTGCTCGCACCATGAAATATGAAACGCGTACGCTTGACGGATGAAGCGCGAGTTTAAGGTGGCGGCGATGAGCCTCGCGAACGATTCTGCGGGGCGGAGCGCACCAGGAATTGTGCACCGCATGTCGTATTTCTGCATGTCGAGAATCCGTACTAAGGAATTGACGAATCGGCACCTGCATGCCTGTAACTTATGGCTTGTTTTCTCTCTGAAGTGTGTAGCTTGTTAGTGTGTGTAACGCCTACTACAACTCTGTCTACTCTCTATACTCGACTCACTATACTCCCCTTCGTTCCTCAACGTCGCCAAACGATTTATCAGAAAACTTCGGATGGTTATCAGAATTATTTCGACAGCAAATTAAATATTTAGATAAATGGAATAAATTGATGGTTATTAGTTGATGCTTGAATTTGACGTTCAATAAAAAATTTGATTGAAGAAATAAAATTTGTTGATTTTTTAAAAAATCCCAAATTTTATGCGTTCTGATAAAAGCATTCAGTATATAAGTTTAGGGAAGTATTTGGTAAAACTTTCTTATTATTTAAATATACTTTTTGTTTTATTAAATAAAAATTATGATAAATATGCGAATATTTAATTCCGATATATTTATTTCTTACTAGTAGTAAGATGTTTAAAAAACAATTCGTAAACATACGTATAATATTTTCATTTGTTATCTTTACTGCAAATCTCTTTTTTCACCTAATTTGCAATAAAAATTTCGACTATAGAATAAAGAATGTAATGCGACAATTGAAAGAAAGTATACAATGAAGAATGAGAAAAAAATTCACACAGTAATATACTCGAGTTTTTATTTCTTTCGTTTACAAAAAAAAAATGAAACGATCAATGCAGAACCGAGGGTTAACTCTCTTAGTCGGCGTCCCGCGGCCTCCCTCGAGAATCCCAAAATCTCTTAAGAACGAAATCACGCTTGGCGAACAGCGCGTCGCTCCGGGATAATTTCTCGCGTGCAGTAACGCTCAATACGAGGATCCTTCTACTCTGAACGGAGTTTCAAGTGCCGCAGTATTCTCGAAGGAGCCCGAAAATCCTCTCAAGAAGAGACGCCAGATCGCCTGTCGATTTCGATTACGGGCCGGTTCATTTAACTTCGTCTTCTTATCGACTTTTTATTTCGCGTCGCACCATCACTTTCAACAAACGAGAAAACGCTAACGTCGTCGTGAGGACACTCGGGAAGATATTTGCTGCTCTTTAATAACGCGCTTAAAGTAACTCGTGATTGACTAATTACGCGAATTAAAATAACAATAATATTAAAAATTAAGAAAGTGTAATAACGGAAATGTGCTTAATGAAATAAACTTTTGTAGATTTAATTTAAGAATATTAGAACATTAAGAGATAGTATAAGAATATAGTTGACTCATGCATAATTAACAGTAATAGGATTAAATTTATCTTGATTTCAATTAAATTACGGATTATTTTCTCTTTAATAATATCCTGATATTTTTTATTATATTTTATTATATTTGCATTTGTTAAAATCAATTTTAAATCAACCAATTTTATATCAATAATTTTAAATAAACATTAAAAGCAGTAATAAAACTTTTAACACGTTCATGTGTATATATATATATATATGTGTATATATATATATATATATATATATATATATATATATACACGAAACTATTGTGCTCTTTTTAATTTTATTCTTTATATTTGTATGTGATATACCTATTTTCATCAATCTTCGAATGTGGAACGATAAAATAAAGAAATTTTAATCATATCTTACCTATAGAATCTCTTACTAATTTTTCAATTAAAATATTGAGATATTTTCTAACGTATGACAGAGTAATATATTCTAAGTGATGAAACTTTTAATGTAATCTATTCTTTTTGTGATAAAATTTTAGAATTATCAAAAAGAGTTGGCACTTAAAAAGTCTTTTTGTTTAAGAAGTAATTTACTTAATGCAGACTAAAATATAAGAAAATAATATATAAAATTCTCAATAAACATCTTATATAGATATACTTAGATGCATGTATTTAACAAACGAAGGTGACACTTCCTGAAAAGATTAAGATATTAAAAAAATTTTTATTTTTTTATTAAGTAATGATCGGAATTAAATACTCGATTTTAACGTGTAATATTAATTTAATATTTGTTTGTTTAATGATAAATGTAGATATATTTTAATTATTTTACAATTATTTTTATACATAATCCTAACTATCATTTCTACTTAATTTATATCTTTTCTATTGTTTAATTCGTTTGAAAAATTGTTATATAAACGAAAAGATATTTATTAATTTGAACGCTGAAAATTAATAAATTAGGATGTTGCATCCAATTATGCTCTTTTATCCTTGCATCTCGAAACACTGATAATATTCGATAACCATGTGATTTATTTATCTGGACAAATAATTAGACAGTGGTATATTATTTCCCAGCGATGTCGAGCTTCCTCTTCGTGATGATCCCTCGTCAACGCCCGTGCACTGTGCAACTATCACTATACCATTACTACTATCACCATCACGACACTTAACCCCATAACAACAGCACGCAGACCTCGCACGTTGCGTACCGATGGCGAACGCGCACCCTCACTCACCCCGTTCTCGTCCGCGGCTCTGCTTCTGTGTTACAGAGGTCCTGCCCTCCTCCACCTCCGTAGACCTGTCGGGCACGGATTCGGCCCTGTACCCGTTCGACCCACAGCAGGAGAACTACCAGGAGATCTGGTTGCCGCCGACCAGTATGTACCCCTATTTTCTGTTCCCCGGGACCGCGCGCCCCCCGCCGTACTACGACCCCGACAGCACATACGACATACGGGAGCCCGGCGACCGCTACCAACACCATCATCGTCACGGCGATCGACATCATCACCAGGAAGCGCCGGAGCTGCCCGGCAGGCCAGCCGTCCTTGTTGTCGAGGCGTACGATCCTCGGACCGATTCGGACCGGTACGAAACCGATATGAATCGGTTCGAGGATCGCGCGGCGACCTCGCGACCAGGAGTTCATCTGGATCGATCGACGGATAGATCTTCTTCCTCCTTCTCCTCCTCTTCTTCTTCTTCCTCCTCTTCTTCTTCTTCTTCTTCTTCTTCTTCTTCGTCTTCGTTGTCCAAGCATGATCGCGCCTCCGGCACAGTGCACCTGCAGCCCCAAAGCGAGCATGACGCGCACCCGCACCAGCATCGGCACCATCACCAACAGCACCAGCACCATCGTCAGCACCTCGCACTACCCGCACCACCGTCCGTCGTCGCGACGCTGTCGTCGTCGTCGGCGGCCCACGGCCCGGGCCATGCCGACCGGCCGCGGCTGCCGGCGCCGAGGAAGTTTGCGCCTAGGCCCACCTACGAGCACCGCGCGATCTTCGACCGCGCCGACGACGACCTCGATGACCTCGAAATCAGGCCAGCCGCGCCGCCCGTCGATCGGATCTTCGATTTCCGCGAAGAGTTCGTCGATCAAGGTTCGTACCGGGCCCACCGGCACGCACAAGAGATCTCGGGATTTTGTCATCACCGAAGGACGTGTCCAAGGACACGTTAGATGTCTTGAAAAGTTTTTAGTTTGCGTGAGTACGTCGGGCACTGTGATAGGCACGCGTCACGAATGCGTACTTTTTTTAGACCTTATTTCGGCATAATATTTTTAGGAGATCGAAAAAAATATCAGAGTCTGGAAAATTTTTACTTAGAGCTTAATATTATTAATTATCTTCTTAAAGATAAAACTGTTAAAAGAGTTCATTTATGATAATGTTAACATTATCATAATAACCATGTTTTATAGTAATAATTTATATTATAATAATGGTTAAAATTTTAATTTAGAATTTTCATTGCTTCTTTTATTTTTATATATAATAATCGATATTTAATTTTTATGTAATTGATATGAAAAATGTGCATACAATACTCATTCATGTCCCCAGCGTAGTACGCTTAATAATTTATTTAGCTACAGAAAAGGTTAAGTATTTAAAAGAACGTACATATAGTAAGTAAATTACAATTGTAAGTACTTTAGAATTTATGAGATTTCTAATAACATATTGATACAGTGTTTCTACTAGAATAGTCTGATATTTGTGTACATATGTGTATATTTATATACATATATTCCGTTTTCTCCTTCAAAATCCATTTTTTTCCTTCACTTTACCTTAAAATTTCCCTCCCCAAAAAAATTTTGTTATCTTTTGAAAGAAATGTGTTTGTTAGGAATAAAAAAAAATGACAAATGTGATGGTTTGATAAGAAAATGGATTAATCAGTTATTGTGAATTTCTTAATATTCGTTGATATAACAAATAATACATAATTTATGATATAAATAAAAATAATTAGTATTACCAGAAAATAAAAGTCTATCAAAAAATAAACTAGGTGTTACATGAATTGCTTCTATTATTATAAATAATGTTGGAATAGCAGATTAGCAATCACAACAAATATTAAAACAATAATTTGTTGTCAAATCATTTACTAACCAGGTGACTTATTAAATTAAGAAAATCCTTTCTCTCAGTGTCTTAGATTTTATTATTTTAAGAGAGTAGGTCACACGTTCAAATTTCTTATTTTAATAGGAAATTTTATGTATTTAAAGCATCTATTGAACTTTTTTATAATTAATTTTATCGTCATTATTATCAAGTTAAATGCTGCTGTAATTCAGAATAAACAAATAAATTAAACACAATATTCAATAAAATTGATTAAAAATGTACTTTAATAATAATAAAAGCAAATGTGGGAAGAATACTTTTTAAAACTAAAAGTCATAAAATAATTAATTTTTTTGTTATTAGATAGATTTCGTGAGAGATTTTCAGTACCGACAGTGTATATCGGAATACGACCTATACCAGATGTTTTATAACATGTGAATATAATTTCAGAAATAAATTAAAAACACAAAAATAACACGAAAAGGTTCAAATATTTATTCTATCTCACTTTGTTTCCTATAACAAACATTTTCATATTTCATTAATTCTGGGTACAAGTTGAGTCAGCGTAGCATTTGCATATGTCTTTATATATCTTAATCTTGCTAACATTTTTAAAGACAGAAATATGTGAAGACACTATTCTAGTTCAATTTGTAACGAATATTAATCAAATACTAAAATGATTACTTAGAAAGTTAGATATAACTAACATTTATATTAACTTTTTGATATTATTTTTATATCCAAAATTCATTTCTGTAGTTATACTTATATATTATATTATAAAGCAATAGTATTATAAAGCTATAATACTAAATCGCTAACCCTTTATGTCGTTATTGTTATGTACGAAACAGGAGATCGATTGTATATCATACAACTTAATGAAAATTACAAAAATAAAATCTGTTAAATGTTATTGATAAAATTAAAAATATTGTTATAAATTTGTCTATTTTTGTAATTTTTATCAAGTTATATATTACTAAATTAACCCTGTTTAATACTATACAGTTCATGTATGAGAAGAGGTCTTATAACTATATATATAAAAAGCTAATAGTATAGAAGCTAATAATATAAAAAGCTAATATTATATATGCTGTATTCCAATGCACACTGCTATTGAAAATTTAATTGTACGTAACGTAAACTATAGATTTTTAATAATGACAGTCTATATCAAGACATGGGCATAAATATTTGAATTTTTATCTCTATATTTATGTCGATATACTGATAACACAAGACTGTTAAATTAATTGATTAAAAAATTTGCGTTTTCCATTACTGCAAGAAAAATTTTTATTGTTTTTCAATTTTTTGGAATTTTTCGCCGCGTGTTTTCCCTTTTTTCTTTTTCTCCTCTCAATGATACAAAAATTCCTCGGAAATTGAAATTTTTCCCCAATGTAGAAACACTGCATTGATAGTATAGCAAATTAATTGATTTTTAATAGCAAAATAAAACGATAATTATTAAGAGTTTAAGTTGATCGCTAATATTGTTTAATATTATTTATTCTTTCTTAACATCCTCTTAGCTCATTACACGTGAAACATTTTAAATATGATTTTATATTTTATTAAAAGCATTTTTTTGCGAAATTATTACACTATCTCATGTAGTATACAAATAAAAAAATATTTTTAGAAAATAAAATAAAATAACCGAATAGTTAATTATTTTTAAAACCAAATTTTAAAAATCGAAGAATAAATATTTGTAAAATTTAATATCTTTGACAGATGAAAATATTAGGGCAAAATAATATTTTCTTTTTAAAAGATAAAAGATAATGTTTTAATCACACACACACGCACGCACACGCACACACACACGCACACAAATGTCTAACAGCACGTATAGGTTCTAAGAATGGAAGATAACGTAAAGATATATTATATTATCTATATTTTCTCTTTACATTATTTATGCTCTATGTTATACACGACATAGTCATATAAACTGAGTGTATTCAATTTTTTTTGTTTTCTCAATACGTGCTGAGGAATATATTTTAACAAATAATAAGTATACCTGAGAAATACACATACATATACAGATAGAGAGAGTTATGCACTATTATACGTATTTTTAATTATACTGGATGTAATTCAGGTGTACTGAAGGTAGACATATTCTTCAAACATAAGAGAAAATTTAAATATACAAATATTTTCAATATAGATTATGTTAATATAATGTTTATATTTCGAATATATACATTTTTATAATATCTTCTGAACACACATACACAACACATTTCCAAAATTTACATATGTTGCTTATCATATGTATTGTTAAAATGTTATTATTAAAATAAATTGTATTAAAAATAGATCTCAATTATAAATTTGAAATAATTATATTAATTTTTTTTTCTTTTAAACTTTTAATAATCTGATTAACTTCTCTCCTTGATGAATTAAAGAAATAAGTATACTTGATGCAATTAGAAATACAACTGGCATATTGTATTTCTTTTTTATTTATTTTTTTTATTTAACGGGATTGGAATTTTATTCAATGTGTTTGAAAGCACTTAGAATAGGTCAAAAAGTCATAATTCATTATTTATCTTGTTCTACTACGATGCTACTATATAGTAGCTAAGAAAAAAAGCTTTTAGTTCCATCGTATTAATTTCTCAGACTCTTCGCGTCTCGCGCTGCGACATCATTTGCAGTCACGTTTCCGCACAAATATTTTCGCGGATTAACTAAAGAAAACGCTTTCGCAATTTTGTAACGACTTCTGAATTAAATTTTGCAGCTCACAACTACAGCTACAATTTCAAATAAGAGTGATTTCCAAATAATTTTCGGAATTGCGCACGATCTTACTTCCGTCTGCTGTTTGTGATATAGTCGGAAGAAAAATTTTTTTAATTCCTTCTGAGGATGGATTTATCTTGAAAATGCACTTCTTGTGCACAACTTGTTACATCCGGTCATTTACAGTGAAGGTCATCGCTCATCCGGACAATTCCACCAGCTTCGAGGTGATTGAATCGCAGTTAGAAAATCCACTGATCGATGCCAAACATCGGGATCTGTTCAACATGAAGCAGATCCCCATCCCGGTTGGTCATCATCATCGTACTCATCATAAGAGGAACCAGACAGATGATTTCGAACGTGAGTCTCTCATTAAAGTCATAATTTTATTATTAATTAAATAGATTATTTTTTAAATGAAAATATTCCTTACATGTGTTAAAAATAAATGTGTCTTCTTTACACAATAAACAAATCCTATGATTTAATCTGTTTTATTTAAAAAAAATAAATTGTTAAACAATTTTGTCGCTAATAAAATAAATATCATATGATATTAAAAACGTGTGTTTTTTTAAATTAACAGGCACAAATTATAAAAAATTATATAATACAACATTTTTTTAATTATTTATGATATACACAGAGAGTGATTTATTTTAAACAATCCAGTCAATTTTTTCCAAAATTATTAATGATAAAATTTTTCCATATTAAATTCAATAATTTCCATATAAATTCAATAATTTTCGAGAAAATTGATAGAATTAACTAAAACCATCCTGTATATTTATCAAATGTGCGTTAGAAATTATTTCGTTATGGATATTGGGATTGTTAGGAACTATTTCGTTTCGCTTATCATTACCATAAACAAACTTATACGTGAAAGCAGAATTGTCAGCTACTGATTTCATTCTAGCACAAATTGCAATCAGCACGAGAAATAAGACTGCCGATGTGGTGATTCTTGTTGAATGCTACTGGTTATGTCAAAAACATCGTGACATCGCTGGGTGCATCATGGAAAATTCCATTTGTTTTAATGCACCGTGCAAATTCATGTTTTCTCGCAAACTGCCCGTGATGGCACCCTGTTGACGGATAGTCGTGTTTTGCGCGAGGAAAAATCAGAGAGAGGGATACATGAGACTGCTTTTATGCATACAACTTTTGTCTTACTCCGCGATGCAGTAATCGTCATATTCGACGGACAATTGCAAAACGTTTTGTATATCGTATTGCAAATGATCCCTTTTTCTTTATAACGCATAGTAACAAATTATTTTTAAAAGGCAATATTAGGTCTTTTAATTAGTTATTAAGAATTATAATTGGAAATTTATATAATTTACGGAACAGAAAAGATCTTCAATATAAATTATATCGACTTATTTTGTATAAGGACTTGCAATACTTTCCTTTTGGAGGTACAAGGTTCTTCATACTTATAATTTTAAACAAAGAATAATTGACAGGTACAAGCTATTCAACTGATAGAGATATAACTTTTGATACGATCAAACAGATCAAGTTTCGACATGATCAAACAAATCATTGATGAATAAAGTTCTCACAATTCTTTCGAGATACTTTATATTTGATGATGCTTATTTCCCTTGTAATTTACGTAAGGTTTATATTTCAACGTACACCGCTGATTTTTGGTGATACGAAGTTAAAAGTGTAGATACTGAAAAATGAGCCAATTTAAAATATAAAAAAATTATGTATATATGTAAATTTTTTTCATAAAAAAGTGGGGAATCTAGAAATTGATTATTATTCATAGAGAGGTGAATATAATACAATAAATACTTTCAATGAAAATCTGTTTATACATACATATCTCTCTAAATTGAATTAGGATAATCACTGATATCAATGCCAAGTATGCCACTGGTAATCAGTGAATTAAATATAAGATCCCTAACCTAGGTAATCTTTATTATGTGATCTAACTAACCTCGTGTTTGTGTGTTGTGTTGTTGTGTGTGTTTTAATACTTAAATATTTTAATTGCTCTTTAAATATAAATCATTCTTCCTTTTTTAGTTGAACTGATTCACTGATTATCAGTGTTAAGTATGCCACTGGGTAATTAATGACTATTCACTAATTCAGATTTAGAGATATTGCAGATAGGAGAAAAGTATACAGGAACAGAATTTATAATATTACAGGCTTAAATTAATATTAAAAACAATATGGATTTCTAAAAATTTTCATGGGAATATTTCGCTGAAAATATTAATTACATTGCGGTTTGGTAAATCTTCGAAATGTCCGAAATAATTTTTTCATATTTTGGAGGGGAAAAAACCATGTCCGTTTCAATATATCAAATAGTGATAACCAATTACAATAAAAATGCTTCTCAGTGAACTCGGTGTACAACGTGGTGAAATGAAATTCATTAGTTTCCGTGCAACAAATATATTTTTACATGCAAATTTATTATACGCCAAATAAATAAATTGCATCAATTGGTATTGCGATATCCGCGAAATCGTATTTTTTTGTATTTTTACTTCTCTAATAGAAAATATTTTGTTTATTTTATTATCTGTTTATAATCACACTTACATAATCCAATAAAATTACAATTATACAGAATACTTTAAAAAGATTAATATAAAGATATTAGTAGCAAATATTTTTAATTATATGTTATCTAGTTGAAAAGGGAAAATTATATAAATATTTAATATAAGATATGGTTTAAATGCTTTTACAAAATTTGTAAATATAAAAAATTTTTAAAGATATTTATATAAACATGTGTAAAAATATATGATATCAATAATTAATAATTGATTAGTTAAGATAAATGATAGAGCGGGCAAATATAATAGAAATTAATCTTCGGACTTTTGACGATCGTGATTTTCCGTCGACGAGATGAAAGAGCGGACGATCGATTGCATCTCTCGCGTAATATCTTGCGAAGATATCACTTCAACGAATAAGATTTATCACAGCAAAAGTTTAATTTAATTTCAACTCTCTCTCCGGTTGCTCTCATTTCCTGCCTCTCCTCGTATCTCTCTTCTGCATATTATTTCTCGAGCCGCCGGATTTGGAACTTTAATCCGCTATCGTGCCCAAGATTCACCCAAGTTTTCGTCGTATTCGATATTACACGACGGTTTTACATCGATCGCCGTTTCCCGGATTTGAGAGAAACGCACTTGGATGAGCAGATATGCTCACTCGATCTCTCGCGCGTCGTTGATGAGAAACAGACTTTACCAAAGGATCAATTTTGTTTTTACATTATAATTTGGAAATGTTTTTTTTTTATTTTTGTACAATAACTATTTCTTTACTTTTTATCTATTAAGCAAAATAAATTTTTGAAACACAAGTCTAGTATATAACATTATGAATTTATAACTGTTAAAACGGCAAAATTTTGATATAATTTGTGATTTCTTTTTAGGTACAAATATTTAATATCAAACCATTTAATTTATTTTTTATTTATTTTCTTAAATTCAATATAGTAAAATATTGTATTGCAATGTGATAACTTCAATAACTGTAATCATTTTTATCATTTTCTCATGTTTTAAATGACAATTATTAAAACTCTCTATGCTTTAAAATATATAAAATATTTTACATTATTTGTTTGCTCTAATGACTTATTTAAAAAATGTAAAAATTTATTTAAAAAATTAGAACTTTTAGAATATTACAAATTAATAATATCTTTAACACGTTACATTGTACATCGTAATTAGAATAGTGCCAATAATGATTTTGTTTCTATATCGTATTTATTTATTTGTACATCGTGCTCAAGGGAATGACGAATGTAAAAAAAAAGAGAAAATAGCAAAAACTTGAATGGGTTTGTATTCAGATTGACTCATCGAAATTCTATCATAGAGCAATTAATACCGTGAAAAACGAGTGATTAAAATTCTATCCAACAAAAAAATTGCTCATTGTAAACTTTTTCTTCACCGATTACAAACTAGTTTAGTTAGTTTCTTGCTAATTAATTAACATCGTGATGTAATCTATGGTTTTGATATATATATAATTACGGATACATTTAAGAAAGATCACAGAAGGGAACTAATTACAAAATAATAATGAGAAGTAAAACTAATGATTAATTCAGTGGCGCTTCGGATTGTAATGTCACTTTATATGTTATAGATAACTATTAATGAAAATGATGACTCTTCTCTTTCTCTCTCTCTCTCTCTCTCTCTCTCTCTCTCTCTCTCTCTCTCTCTCTCTCTCTCTCTCTCTCATGTTGTAAAAGTGCTATTGAATACAAAAAGAAATTATTTCAAAATTGTAGCGTTGCAAGAATCTTATATTTATTTATACGAAATAAATATTTATTAAAATATAACAATACTATTAACAATTTTTTTTGTCTACAGTATATTATTAAAGGCTAGATTGACAAGGGTGTCTACGTTTCATAAAAATAAAATAAAGTAAAAAATTCGATGAAAGTATTAATGTTTCAAAAAGTTTCTTAAAGTTCTATAATTAAAAACTGATACTTCGTTTTTTATTAAAATGTCACAATTTGCTGAGAACAACATAGGCTATTTGCAACATAGGTTCAAATTCCCACCGGAGTGCCACCTAGATATCACTCTATCCTTGTTGTGTACTGAATGTTAAACAAGGATGACTCGGGGAGCACCCGGGTGGGAATTCGAACATGCCTATAGATGAGAGAGTTATTTCAATTAATAACTAATTAAATTATAGAATGAAACTACAATAAACGCAGGGAAACATGTAAATTACCTTTATAAGTTAAAATAATGTCAGAATGTTGGGAGATTTTTTGCTTGACTTCACGCCATGACTAATCATAAATAACACCGCGATTAGTCGGCGTTTTTGGCACCGGTGTGGATCTTGTTTCTCCTCAATTATTACTGTAACTAATTGCCCGCGCGGCCAATTAACGTCAAATATGGGAAATGCAATTGCGATCGGGAAACGCTGTCCGCTCAGCGCTTTGCGCGCTTCTTTAACGCGATTTTCTCTCAATTACAGCTGCGCTAATTACTCGGTTGGCCGATCAATTACGGATATTCATTGCGGTTTGAAATATATATAAATAGCGGATAAAATCGGAAGACCACTCTACGGTACCGGGCTAATGATTAATTAGCACGTTCGCTCATTTATCAATTGTCACGTTTGATGGATTGTACATTATCTGTATTTTTATTTTATATATCAGAATAGCTTAGATAGCCACATTTTAATTTCATTAAAAAAGGCTAATATTATACATATTTATAAAATATTATATTGTAATTGGTTGTACTTATACCTGGCTGCAATTAATGTGATTACGTCAATTAAATTAATAC